CTAAGGCAATTCCAAAAGACCCATGATAGAAAATGCTATCCAAATCCAGGGAAAGAACTATGGAATCTGAATGGAGATGGAAGAATACTATTTTTACTTTTTTGTTTGTTTGTTTTTGTTTTTCTTCCTTGTGACTTTTTCCTTTTTGTTCCGATTCTTCTTTCAGAACAAGAATAATGTGGAAATACCCAGATGGCTCTTGAGGAGAAAATGAGGCTGGTGACTTTGCACAGCCCTCCCTCACTCAAGTGAAATTCAATTGCAAGTCATGTCATCATTTCCTTGATGTTATGGTCCTCTTTGAGAATGAAGGACAAACCACACACACACAACACACAATGTGAAAATATGTTTAATATGACTGTACATGTATAACCTATATCATATTGCTTTCTGTCTTGGAGAAGGAAGGGAGAATAATTTGAACTCAAAATCTTGAAAAAAATGAATGTTGAAAACTATTTTTACATGTAACTGGAAAAAAACACTATTTAGTGAGGGAAAAAGACCTTTATGTTGGGAAAGATTGAAGGCACAAAGAAAAGAGGATGGCAGGGGATGAAAAGGATAGAATGTGTAATGGAAACAATAAAAATTAATTTGCCCAGACTTTCAGAGATGGTGTAGGATAGAAGGGCCTGGAATGCTATGGTCCATGTGGTCACAAAGAGTCAGACACAGCTGAAGAACTGAATAGCAACAATAATATCTGATAATCAATTGTCTGAAAATGATAACGGGGCTAATAATTTTATTTTTTGTTCTTGCTGTAATCAAGATAAAGTCTAACTATACTGCATTTGGGATCAAAAGACTAGCCTTCAAATCTCAGCTATACTACTGAGGGAAAGTAACTTTATGTTTCCAATATGTAAAATAAGGATATTGTATTAATTGATTTATATGTTCCCTTTCAGTTTAAATAACATGACTCCCCCATTTGCACACTGTGCATTGTTGATGTTTTAAATTTTCAAGGGTAAACACAAAGATAGTTGCTGTCTCCTAGACAAAACTACCAGTTTCAGGTTGATCCTAGTTTCAACGTTAGATCAAACTAAATTAGTTTTGATGATTTCTTGAATGTTTGAAACATGTTTTTGTTTACTTGTACTTTTGTTAACATAATAATTTCTCAAAGTTTAAAAAATACTGGAAAGTATAGGTATAAATCTGTTTTTCCTTAAGTTGATAAAAAGGATTTATCTAAAACCATCTACAAGCATTATTTTTCATGAGGATAAGCCAGAAATTTCCCCAGTAAGATCAGCTGTGAAACAAAGATGCTCCTTGTCTCAAATGTTATTCAATATTGAATTGGAAATTCTAGAAATAAGAGAAGAAAATGAAACAGAAAGAATCAAAATATAGAATGAGGTAATAAAATTATCTCTTTTTGCAGATGATATTATTTTATATTTGGGAAGACCCAAAGATAACTTAAAAAGTTATTTGAAACAATTGATGATTTTAGCAGAGTAGCAGGATATAAAGCAAATCCACACAAATCATCAGCATTCTTGTATATCACAAAATCCTGTAATAAGACAGCAAAAGATACCCCATATAAAATAACTCTAGATAGTATAAAATGCCTGGGAATACAACTGGACATTTTCAATTACATCTAATTAAAAAAAAATTTTGTACAAACAAAACAAATGTAGTCAAGATCAGAAGGAAAGCAGAATTTGTTTTAGGGGATGGGGGAATTTTATACTGTTTCTCAGGTAAAGGTCTCATATCTCACATATATAAAGAACTTGGTCAAATCTGTAAGAAAAAGAGTGATTCCCCAAAGGATAATGGTCAAAAGATATGAATAGACTGTTTTGTGATGAAGAAATCAAAACAATTCATAGTGATATGAAAAAAAGTATTCTAAATCATTATTGATTAGAGAAATGCCAATTAAAACACCACCTTCAGACTAGCTAAAATGATTGAAAGGAAAAGCAACAAATGTTAGAGGATATATTGAAAAAATAGGACACTAATTCACTGTTGGTGAAACTGTGAACTGATCCAACCATTTTAGAGAGCAATCTGGAATTATGCCCAAAGAATTATTAAACTGCTTATATACCATTTGACCTAGCAAAACCACTACTAGATATATTTCCAAAGATGATTAAGTAAAAAGGAAAAGAAACTCTATGTTTTAAAATATTTTTAGCAGCTTCCTTTGTGGTGGCAAAGAAAAATTGTGAGGATGCCTGTCAGTTGGAAAATGTCTGAACAAGTTGTGGTATGTGATCATAATGTAATGATACTGTGCTATAAGAAATGATAAGCTCATTGATTTTGGGTGGGGGAAAGCATGGATAAACTTGCATAGAGTAATGAAGAGTGAAATAAGCAGAACCAAGAGAATATTGTATATAGTACAATAATAGATCAACTATTATAAGCACCCAAGTTAACTAGAAATAACTCTGTGTGTGTGTGTGTATATGTGTGTGTGTGTGTGTGTGTGTGTGTGTGCATGTGAATGGGTATGGGCATGCACAGGGTAGAGGAGGGAAGAAAAAAAGAAATTTACATTATGTATTTATTACATATTTCAAAGGAAGAGCAAATTGTATATAATATATTCATAGTTTCATGTGCAATCATCTTTTTGTTATACTACTACTATGTTATTGGGATGCTGGTTTTATTTAATTATTTCTTTGGCCCATAAATAACCTTCAGGGAATCAAAAATACTTTATTACTATCAACGTAAAACTGAATTTCATTTGCCTTATTACTAAACCAAGAATCCTGTATCTCTTTAAGCTTCATTTGCACATTATTTTTTCTTTTTTGGTGAGGCAATTGGGGTTAAGTGACTTACCCAGGGTCACACAGCTAATAAGTATCAAGTGTCTGAGGTCAGATTTGAACTCAGGTACTCCTGATCCCAAGACCATTGCTCTATCCACTATGCCACCTCACTGCCCCTCATCTGCACTTTTGATGGAGTTAAACACTGACTTCTTAGAGAATGAACTGTGGAGCTGCAAATGTATAATTCTCATTTTTTATTTAGCAGTTTTTGAATTTCCCCATAATTTTTGTCAAACTCAATTTTTTTGTTTGCAAATGTTCTGGCCCAGATGAGAAAATGTAGTGCTGTACCCCAAATCTCTGAAAACTTCCTACTACTTTTCTGTTCCTCTGTTGACAACTTGGTATGGCTTAGCTCTCCCTCTAAGTTAACAACAAATTATTCATGCATAGAGAAGAGTTCTAATCTGTTGATGTTGAGTCTCCCAACTGTCATCTTGCCTCGTGGCTTTTGCTTTTGTTGAATGTGAATGTTTAGCTTGGATGGGATAAGTCTGATTGGTTCAACATTCTGACGTACATTGCCTTTGTCACTCTCACATCCTCTCTGTCTTTTCTCTTTATGATGGCATAGTCTATCAAATGTCAGTGTTTGCTACAGTGGTACATCCAAGATGTTTTACTGTGTTTAAGTAAATAGAAGAGTGTTGATGATGAGAAGGTCATGAGACACACAACTTCAGTAGTGACAGTTGATGTTGCTATTTCTGACTCCATTCCTCCTGATGACTCCCTGCCAGGTCTAATAGTCTGTGCATCACCCAGAATCATAAAATTGTCTACTTTCAAAACATTGAACATGAGAATCTCCTGATCTTCATAAAATTTTTCTTTTACCTCATCATGGTTGATCATTGTGGAAGTACATGCACTGATGATGGTGGCTTGGTGCTTTTCTGCAAGTGGCAATTGCTTTCTCATGAGCCTGTTGTTCACTCCTTTGGGGAGGTATACAATCTTGTTGACCAGATTAGTTTTGATTGTGAAATCTATGCCAGCTTCATGGCATTCCCCTTCACTTTGACCACTCCAGAAAAAAAGGTGTGTGTCCTGATCTGATTTCAGTAAACTGGGCTTTCTTTTGCTAGCCTTGTTTCACTCAGGGCTGCTAATTGGATGTGATACCTGATGAGTTCTCTCACAACTATTCATCTTTCAGGTCTACTGGATTTCTCGTTGCCATAATCATGCACACATTCCATATACCAGTGGTGAGTGGAGTCATCTTCACAGTTTTTGTAGTTTTTGGAGTTTCAACCACAAGGTGAGATCCCTTGATAAGAAGGTCAGGTTTATATGAAGCAAATACCTGGGGAGAGCATCTTTTCTACTCCCTTCCTCATCGCAGAGGTGAGCAGTGTGGTTCTTAAAAAAGGCTGCTAAAATACCCAGGGGCTTGTTAAATACCACTGTTGCTTATTTAATCTGGTGAGAAGATGACCCTGTAGCTGCCTGTGTGCAGCATTGTGACTACAGCTCCCATTATATTCATACCTGATGCTTCAACACTTACCTCTTGTTATAGAACTTTGAGGTAGGTAAAATGGTAAAATTGTATGGGTGATGTCTTTTGACTGGAGCATTAATTGGATTTAAGTGAGGAAGCATTGTATAAAATCATGTGCCTCACTTTTTCTTCCAGAGTCATCAAAATCCAGTGACAAAACAAAAGTCAAAATGATTATTGATTCGTGGTCACTGACTAAAATTGATTAATAATATAATTATAATATAATTATATATCATATATTATAATTATATATTATATAATATTATTATATATCATATATTATAATATATTATAATTATATATAATATTATTATTAGAGGTCTTTTTTCTACGTATGACAGTATGTATGACCTTAGCATCTTTGATGTCCGACAAAGCTTTAAGTACCCCACAGTGACTACTTCAGCTACTTTCATGGCCAATGAAACAAATTGTTCTAATCCACCCATTCCACAGGGAGATGTTTTACATGCTTGGGGTAGAAAACTCTCTAACTCACTGACAGGTTTGAGGCCTATCAGTTACCCTGAACCTGGTTTAGCCTGCCAAAAAGATTTACTGGGGTGTGGCTGCTATGCATGCCATAGATTCCTGTAGCTGAAAGGGTAGGCAGCCCTTACACCAGAGGTATTAGTCTTCTCTGAATAACCATACACCCCCAAAATATGGAACACTTAAGAAATTTGTGTGTCCTCTTTGCACTGGGCCATGCTAATCTTCTTTGTATCATTCTAATTTTAGTATTGTACAGCTAAAACAAGCTATTTTTTATTATTGATTAGTAGTAGTATTTATGATTATATTGTTATTTAACATTTATACTATTTAATATTTGCATTATTTATATATATATATGTATATATATATATATAAAAAATATTATTCTGGGCAATTTGGTTATTGAATGGAAAGAGTGCTGAGCCTGCATTCAGGAAGACTCATCTTCCTGACTTAAATCTGACTGCCCTCATACACATAGTAGCTTTATGACCCTAGGCAAGTTACTTAAAGCTGTTTGCCTCAGTCTTCTCACCTGTAAAATAAGCTGGGGAGAGACATGGCAAATCACTCTAGGATCTTTTCCAAGAAAAGCCGAAATGGGGTCACAAAAAGTTGGACACAACTGGAAAACAACTGAACAACAAATAATATTATTATCATTACTTAATATTATTATCATTATTTATTATTATGTAGGCCACAACATGTTTTCAAAGAATATGTCTCATGCTGTTATTATAGGGGTTTATACTATTTAGTTTTTATAAGGATAAGAATAGGGACTAGTCCTGTAATTTTATTACTTTAAGGATACCTCCTCTACTCACATGAATCAACTCAATTTATAATCTTGTAGAATTGGCTAACCAGGAGTGGGGAACTTACAGTCTTCAAAGTCACAGGTGGCCCTCTAGGTCCTCAAGTGTGGTCCTTTGAATACAAACTTCACAGAATAAATCCCCTTAATAAAAGGATTTGTTCTGTATAACTTTAATTCAATCAAAAGGCTACATCCAAGGACCTAGAAGTCTACATGTGGCCTCAAGGTTGCAGGTTCCCTACCTCTGTCCCTTTGATAGCTTTAGTAATTTGCCCAGAATCTCCTCAATGGTATGTGTTATAGGCAGTACTTTAATAGGAGACCTCATGGCTTAGAGGTCTTTTTTTCTATGTATGACACTATGATGATTATATAGCATTTATGTGTGTGTCACTTGTATATGAATGTATGCATATAATCATATATAAACAACCATTGATATGCCTATCTTTATTATTTCAAAAGTGAGCCAATTGGTATTTCTTACCTTTTTTTAACTTTTATTGTTGGGACTTTCTTTAGTTTTTATGATGGGCCATTTCTTCTAATGGCAGTGGGGAGACAGAATCTTTCTGTCTTTTGGGGATTCAATCTATTGCTTGACTCTAACATACAATATCAATCTACTTTATTCCCTTGGCCCACACAGGTCAGAAAGCTCTCACATAGTTCAGAGGGCTTTAATTCTGGCTATAGGCTGGTTCTAGAATTATCAATTCAAATAATATCTTTTCATGTTATCTGAGAGGTATAATAGTTAGACTTGTGGTTAAAAAGTGAGGGATTCTCCTTTAAAGAGAAGAATGCTATTGGTTCATCAAAATTTCTACTGCCACCTTTGTGAGATGGTTACTCTAGCCTTTCTCATTTTTTCCTATAAACTCATTTGGCACTGCTTCTATTTTCAGGTACAGCACTGGGAGCAATATTTTGTCTTCTGTATGTCTTCTATATGTACTCCAGTAAGCAGCCTGTGAACACCCTATACATTTTAACTAATGATAATAGGTAAAATGTAATACTTTGAGGAAATACTCATTTTTAAATACAGTTCACAATGATTGTGCAGGAAAGAAAAACCTCAAGTCATGTAGAAGACTCATTGGTTGTACTTGTTCTCCTTGAGGTTTTTGACAATTACAGTGTTTTTAAAAACAAGCTAATTTTAAGTTACATTCATAATATTGCTATAAAAAGGCAGAAATGTTGAAACAGAAGGTAACAAAGCAGAAATAGTTCTTTTTTTTCTTTTTGATTATAGAATAGTTACCATAGGAGAATCCTTGATATGTCTATCATTTTTCCAGAGATATCATCTCATTATAGCCTCCAGGGACCAGATACTATTTACTTTAAATGGACATCTCTTATGCTAGTTCTGGCTATAAAACAAAACAATAGAATAGTCTGCCTTTAAAAAAAAGTTACCTTCAATAGAATTTCATCAAGTCTTCAATAATTTAATATCAAAACCATTATACTGTATAGACTGGGAAAAAATTCTAACAACTTGGTTTCTTGTCTCAGAGGAGAAGTTCCACTCTATTCAAAGAACTAGTCATAAGCCAATAAAATATTGCCTATAGGTTTCATGTCATTTCTTAAAATATAATAAATAATGAAAATAGAACTACTGGTATTTCATTACTATAGCTGAAAATCTGTAGATACCAGGCTTATATCAAGCTAAAAATTGAACATCCACTAATCTAGGACTGAAGCTCCCAAAGTCAAAGACTAGTAGAGGACAAAAAAAAAAACTTAAAAAGAATAAAAGGCTTATATTTGGTATTTATTTGTGAGGTTTAAGTAAATGTGAGCATACTTACAAGGCTATTACAAATAATGCAATGTAAAGTTTGAATTTTTCACACATAATCAGAACATATGACATTTACCAATCCAGATTAAATTTAGGTCATTTCATTTTCATCCCCAAACCATTTGTCCCTTACGTATTCTATTAAAATCCCAATTGCACTCTGCAAAACAGTTTTTCCTCATGCATACTTTGTATTCATCACATGCAAATGAAATATAAGCAGTATGTCATTCTCTCAAAAGTGGAAATTGAACGGTGATTATTATATTAAGTCTAAATATAAACTAAACCTCTTATAGTGATAGAGCTATTCAAAAATCAGCTAAATGTTTGCTAGAGTAATTACATGAAGTCTTCATGGAAATAAGTATGGAACAATGCTTATTGAGTTTGAAATAAATTTCAGAAGCCCCAGTGAATATCTGGCAGCAAACTTAATCAATTGTAGTCAGTTACCATGAAAGATGTTTGAAACTGGTGGCATTGTCCAAATAAATACATGTTTAACACAGTGCATGGCACATAATAGGTATTTATTAAAGGTGATTGTCTTGACTTTGAACTCAAGCAGAAGTATCTGGACACCTATGTGCTGTCATTTGAATAATGTGGAGTGCTTCCCAAGGCTGAGGTAGTGCTTCCTATACCCAAGATATTATCTATCATTACCATTGCTTAAACTAATGGAATGTAAACTCCTTGAGAGTAGGACTGTTTTTTTGTCTTTGAATTCCCTCAGTGCCCAGCACAGTACGTTCACATAGTAGAAACTTAATAAATGTTTATTGAATTGAATTAAATTATCACTTTCCCCCTTTTTGCTAAGTATAAGCCCTTACTTCCAATATGCCTTTTATTTTAATACATCTTTTTTTTTGTAATCCTAGGCAATTATATCTCTAAGAGATCTTTCAAATATAATTCAACCCAACCACCTTATTTTACAGATGGGCAAAGTGAGGTGGGTGAAAAGGTAGCTGGGTAATAGCATATCAATGTGAATGAACTTAGTTTGATTTCTATCTTGACAGAAAAGATCAAGAAAATATGACAGAGATGGAGGAAGAGAAAAGGAAAGGATAAGAAAAAAGTTATGATCATAAGAAGAAGAGATAGATAACATCTAAGAAAATTTTGCTTCCTCAGACACTTTTCTTCAAGTTGGCTCTGTGACCTGCCCAATTATGCCTTTTAAAAATGATATCTTCTTGTTTTTCTTCAGAAACTTACTTTGAATATAGTTGTCATAGGAAGATACTATGAGAATTAATGGCAGTAAATTTGTTTACTTAGCAGAGAGTGAGGAGAGTGTTAACTAATTGGAGAAGTTACGGTGCCACTTTTGTGGCCCAAACATGCTTTTTGTCAGACTAATAATTTTTGAAAACTGCAAGTCTGAAATTTAGAATCTCAAATAATATTGTTTTCATTAGCAAAAGCAAAATGTTTGCTAAGCCATATGCATATTTTATCTGTAGTTTCACTGTAAACCACATAGTACACATTATAAGTTCCTTTAATAGCACTGCAAATGTTTTACTACCTTCACAAATCTCACAGAAAAAACAACCATACTACATAACAATTGAAAAATAAGAAGCTCCTCTTTTTTAAACAGATTGAGTGCAGCAATACAGAGAAGCTGTCATTAAAAAAAAACTATTAAACTGACGTCTTCCATTCTTAATTTATACTGGAATGCATTTTTATCTATTATTATTATTTTTAAATAATAAAGAATGTTCTATTTATTTATATTGGGAAGATATGGTTCATTTTTTATTTGTCCATCATTCTCATTTTAAGGATACTATTTAAAGATTCTCTTCCTTATAGTGTTTTTATGCATATATATAATACAGTTTTCATGTTACATCTATATTCACATGTAGAAGGTGATCTGGGCCCTGACAAAGAGAAAGCTTTTTAACAGCAAAAAAAGATATCAAGAGTACACATTCGAGGGAATACATGCTGAATTGGGAGCAGGGGGAGAGAAGACCTGCATTCCTGTATAGAATAAAAAATGAGTTTGGAGAGCTGTTTTCCAGGATATGATAGGACAAAGGGATTAATGCGAAGGAGAGCTAGAAAGATAAGTTGGAACTTATTCTTATGTCTATCTAAACAGTTTGTATTTTATTTTATAGATAATAGACTCAATCAAGTTCTTCTCTCAGAATACTTTCATGGTTAGACTTGTTTGAAGAATAAGACAGAAAGGAGAGAGATCAAAGGCAAGGATACCATTTAGGACTTGTTTCAAATGTTCATAAAAGAAAAAAATGAAAGGCTGAAATAAACTAATCATGTACAGCTAGAAGAGAGGTTTAATGTGGGAGGAATGTATGAAGGAAGAATGGAAAGGTTTTTATACCTGTTGATATATAAGGAGTGAGATGCACATTTTATGCTACAGTAACAAGGTTGATGGTAAAACTATCAACAGAATTGGTGGAACATTAGAAAGAATGGGGAGATGATGAATTTTATTTTAGGTATGTGTTTTTAGCTACATACACCTATAAGTCCACTAAATGTAGGACATTAATCAAAAAATCTACAAATAAACATTTATTAAATATGATGTTCCAAGCACTGTGGTAGGCACTGGGAAGACAA